TTGAATGTTTTTAACTATAAATTCATCATTTGTGTACCAGTGAATTGCCTATTGATTTCTGCATTAGTCAGGGTAGGTTAAGCAATGCTGTAATAACAGGAGAATCCTGTTATCCTGCCTGAAATCTTAATCACTCAATGAAATAAAGGTTTACTTCTCAACTACTCTTTTAAACAGTGGTTCAGGCATCCAAGAGTCCATTTTGTGACACTACCACGTTAAACCTGTAGCCTCTGAGGGCAGCAGTGAAACAAAAATGAGAGTATAGGAGGCCCTTGACAGAATTGAGACTAGAGCAAATGTCCCCACCTCTAAAAAAAAAATGAGAATCAAGTTAAAGAGTAAAAAAAAAAAAAATGAGATTCTGGAAGTTGGAGACAAATACTACAAACTGATGGATTGAAAGACCCTTAGATGGTATATCATGTACAAAATTTCCCTGCTGTTTTACAACACAAGTATTTAGGATAGGGTGTTCTGAATTATTAGTCACCAATAGCCAATTTATCCTTACACAATAGAAAAATAGATTCTGACACAACCTGCCCATTGGCCCAGGTTTGCATTTTTGCACATGTCTGGCAGCTAGTGCCAGATAGATCATCCTCTCTGCTGGTTCCCACTTGACGTTGCTAAGTAAGCAGTTCTTGTTAATAGATTTGAAAACCCCTGAGAGCCAACAGCTTTACTTCATGGCTGCAAAAATCTCTGCCTTGGTGAAGCTCCACTATAGGTTATGGGAATCTGTAGTACATAGAATAATGGTCCTCCCCAAAGGTGTCCATGTCCCAATCCTTGGAATCTGTAGCTCTGTTACTTTACATGGCAAAGAGCTTTTACAAATGTGATTAAGATTAAGGACCTTGAGGGCTGGGGATGTGGCTCAATCGGTATCGCGGTCACCTGGCATGCGCACGGCCCTGGGTTTGATCCTCAGCACCACATACAAATAAAGATGTTGTGTCTGCCAAAAACCAAAAAATAAATATTAAAAAAAAATTCTCTCTCTCTCTCTCTTAAAAAAAAAAAAAGATTAAGGACCTTGATATGAGGAGATTATCTGGGTGAGCCCAATGTCATCATCTATCCTTTGGAAAGCCTCTCCCAGTTGTGGGCAAAGAGATAGATGTGTAAACAGATTCAGAGAGAGACTAAAACTCTTGGCTGTGAGGATGGTGGACCAAAGCCAGGAGAAAAGTAGTCTGAATAGGATCTGGAAAAGGAGCCAGGCACACTGGTGCACTCCTGAATTCCAGTGGCCCCTAAAGCAGGAGGATTGAGAGTTCAAAGCCAGCCTCAGCAATTTAGTAAGGCTTTAAGCAACTCAGTGAAAACTTATTTCCAAAATATTTTTTAAAGGGCTGGGGATGTGGCTCAGTGGTTAAGCGACCCTGGGTTAAAAAAAAAAAAATGGAAAAGAAATGGATTCTCCTCGAACCTACAAGAGGAACACAGCCCTGCCAAGTCTTGATTTTAGTCAAGTAAGACTGCTCAGATACAGAACTGTAACATAAAGGAATATGTGATTTTTTTTTTTTGGTTGTAGTTGGACACAATGCCTTTATTTTATTTATTTATTTTTATGTGGCGCTGAGGATCGAACCAGTGCCTAGCATATGCTAGATGAGCGCTGTACCGCTGATCCACAACCCCAGCCCCTGAATACGTGGTTTTAATTCACCAAGTTTTTGTCCTATTTCAATAGCATCAATAAAACATGAATACAGGCCTCTTTTCTCACCCATCTACCTATGTATTAAATACCCCTTACTTTCAGAGCAGTAGTGGTTATAGGATATATGGATGTATACTTATGGTTTGGATCTAGAATATTCCTCAAAGGCTCATATTTGGTTTGGTCCCCAATGCAGCAATGTTCAGAGGTGGAGCCTTTAGGAAAGTGATTGGATCATGAGGGCTCAGACCTCATCAACGAATTAATCCATTGATGAATTTGTAATTTAATGGCATTAATGGGAGGTGATAGAAACTGTAGGAGGTGAGACCTAGTTTGAGGAAGTACCTAACTTGGGGCATGCCGTAGAAAAGTATATATTTTTCCTCACCACTTCTCTCTCCCTCTACTTCCCAGTTGCCATGAGGTGAGCCGCTTTCCTCCTCCACACCCTTTCACCATGATATTATGCCTTGCCTCAGGCCCAAAGCAACAGGACTGGCAGACCTTGGACTGAAATCTCAAATTGAACCACAAGGTCTCCACTCCTCTAAATTGTTTTTCTTGGGTATTTTGTCCCAGAGAGAAAAAGCTGACTAACACATGAGTGTACTTGTTTCACATTTCAATCATTTTGCCTGTTCTTAAACTTTGAAGAACTTCCAAGACTAGAGAATGGGAGGATTTAGTGACAATTCAACAGCTTTGTTACTCAAATTTTCTTTTTTTTTTTTTTTAATACTGGGGTGTGAACCCAAGTGCACTTAACTACTGAGTCACATCCCCAGCCATTTTTATTTTTTATTTTGAAATATGATCTCGCTAAATTGCTTAGGGCCTTGCTAAGTTGCTAAGGCTGGCTTTGAACTTGCAATCCTCCTGCCTCAGCCTCCCAAACTGCTGGGATTAGAGGCCTGTGCCACCATCACCGGTAGTTTTCTGGCTTTTTAAAGACATTTCTCTTTTTCATAACTCACATTTCTATCTCATAACCTGGCAGGAAATTATGCTCCATGAATTTGGCATTGAACAGAAATCCGTTCTGGCATACTGCCACGGAAAGAACAAATGGAAGAATTACTTTTCAGTAGAGTATGGAAGTACAACATTTTGATTTTAAACATTTCAGTGATTAGCATTTGACAAAACATAGGATGAGAGAACTAAAAGAAATTGGATACTTCTTCAAAAACCTATATTTTCATGACTGAATATCCTACAGCCATACAGTGGAATATCAAGATAGGATTAAAATGAAAGAGGACATCTCTTTCATTAAATATGATATAGGCAATTATCTCCAGGACATAAGTGAAAGGAAACAAATTACACAGCAGTACATATAGTTCATGGGGGGGGGGGTTTGCAGTGCTGGGGATCAAACCCAAGCCCTCACATTTGCACACACTGCCACTGAGGCACACCTCCAGCCTCTATGCCAATTTCTAAAGAGCTCTAGCCCTCATTTGGTACTTATTTTAGTTTGCTCACCTCAACTTTTTTTTAACATTCTGAAAATGATTTTACTCTTCCCTTAAGGCTATAAGGGAGCAGCAGCACACACTTGTAATTCCAGCTGCTCAGGAGGCTGAAGCAGACGTATCTCAAGTTCAAGGCCAGCTGCGCAATTTATTAAAACCCTATCTCAAAGTAAAATTTAAAAAAGGGACGGGAAGTAGCTCAGCATCAAAACACTCCTGGGTTCACTCCCAAGTAGGGCAAAACAAAAATAAAGCCTATAAGAACTATTATGGGGCTGGGCACAGTGGTGCCTGTAATCCCAGCAGCTTGGGAGCTGAGGCAGGAAGATTTGGAGTTCAAAGCCAGCCTCAGCAACACAGAGGTGCTAAGCAACTCAGTGAGGCCCTGTCTCTAAATAAAATACAAAATAGGGCTGGGGATGTGGCTCAGTGGTCAAGTGTCCCTGAGTTCAATTCCTGGTACAAAAAAAAAAAAAAAAAAAAAAGTTTATACAAAGGCAAAATGATATTCCCGTATTCCACTTTACCAGAATTTGGCGTATTTTGTGATCCTTGGCATGTCTAACGGTTGCTGATTCATACATGGATCCTTAATGAGAAAAGGTAGAAATGACTGCTGAAAGTTGTCAACGCAACTGCCTGGATGAAAAGGTGGCCAGATGTGGAAAAGTAGCTCAAGGTGTGTATGTGTGCATACACAACCCACTTAAGTATCCCAAGCAGCTAGTTTCATGTTTGTCCAATTATTCTGATGTCTACAATAAAACTAAGACTTAAGACTCAAATTAAAATTCTTCAAAGGCAATGCTAAATTCAGAATGAAATTGGCTGGTTCATGTATCTATAATTAGAACCACTTAGGACATTCATTTTTACAGCACAAGGCATGCAGTACTTGGAAGACTACCATATACCACTATTTTAAACTTCTGAGCCAAAAAGTATACTACTAAAATTCTTAGAAGCACAACAAATGTTTCGACACAGCTTGTACAAACAATCCACTACAATTTGATTCCTTTGCAAACAACTCCTGATGCCCAGAAGGAATTGACTGCACCAGGTTCCAGCTGCTTTGGGATATATTCACTAATCCTGTGCATTCTGACAGTTGTATTTTGGGGTTGCTACTACATCATAGGATTTACAGAAAATAAATTAGTACATCAAGACAAACACACTTCAATGTTAAGTTTTAAAGTGCTACCAGGAGGTTGAATAACTTAATTGCTCACTGGATTTTGAAATGTCCTACACAGACTTTGCCGAAAACTCAAATATTCAGTGACAATCATCTGACTCAAGGTGACTGTCATTCATTCCTCCTTGCTGGGCCATAGCTCAGACACGGGAATAAAGAGAATGATCAAAAAAAAAAAAAAAAAATTCCTGGAAAAGCATGTGGTAGATCCAAGATCATCCACTTCCTTCTTTCCTTCCCTCTGCAACATTCCTTTTAGATAAACAGTTCTGGGTACATATATTAAGACAGAAATTCTTATTCTGTGAGTCTGGGGGAAAGGGCAGTAATGTCCCTTTTGACAAATAACCCCCAAGGGATTCTAAAATGCAGGAGTATCTGGGTCACTCTCTGAAAAATACCACTTAAGTTCTTGCTCCTGGGATCTATGAATCACACAGACATCTCAGGCATTTTCTCTATGAATATGAATCTTTAAAGAGCTGAAGGGCATAATCCAGTTCAGCTTACTTCCTCTTCTTGGGCCTGCCACCAAGGACAGCATCAGCATTGAGACCTAATCTATACCAAAGGTAGATCAGATTTGTATCACCTGTTTAAAAAAAAAAAAAAAAAAAAAAAAGCTCAACAGTGTTTTTTGTACTCAGAGGTTTCCAACACATTTTATTTTGCCGACCACTGGCGGGTGTGCAGCTTGAGGACCGACATCTATATAAATTCCTATAAAACGTCCAGTATTGCCAGTCTGTGGCAGCCTCCTCTGCACTGCCCGCCACCAAGGGCCTCAGTCTCAGGTGCACACGAGGGGGGCCTAAAGACCCTGGCTTCCAGGTAGATTTGCGTGGGGAGGAGAGTTCCTTTGGTGAGGATCGACAGGTTTGGAGTGCGGCTGCAGTGCCGGCAAGCAGGAAGCCTTCAAAGCCTTGTGGAGGACTGGCACCCTTGATGCTTCTCTTCTTTCGAAGACACAGGAAGATGCAGCGCCCTTGTGCTTAACGACTGGAACCCCCTCGACTGCTTAGTAGGTTAAAATATAAGGAAGCCTCTGCTTTAAGTAACACAGATAACACCTCTTTAGATTGCCTATTTGTTCTAGAACTACAAAATTTAATTCAAGAAAATATAGGTCCCATGAAAGACTTAAAAGTTTTATAAAACTAAAATCTAGTTTTCCCCGATAAATTGTACTTTAGGCAAAACCCTCCCAACGCTTCTAAAATAATACTAAAAGGGGCATCTGATTATACAAGAGCAATTTAAAAAATTAAATATTTATTTGAATAACAAGTTTTAAGTTCGAGCTGCAATGTTGGCAATGCAGATTAACAGATCACAAAAAGCGTGCACAAAAAAGTACTAGCGCAAAGGACAAAACAATGCTAGGAATTAGGCTAAAGAGCTGCTGATTTTAAGGAAACAAAAGGCCTGAAATCACTATACAAAATATAAAATGTATTAAACACTACCATCCACACAACAGCCTTTATTATTGATTATATTTAAAAATTATTTGCGTAGTTAATTATATATTGAATTGTAAATGAGTATTATACATGAACTCCCTATTGGAAGGCAATTCCTTGTTGCACTATAGAACATCTAATTACATTGCAAAAAGTATTCTTTTTTGCTATATCAGTAAAGAAAAGCTAATGATATTATTGTAAATATCAGGAAGGCTACAAAAAGAAATAACATTTCTTTTTTGTCTTCAAAGTGCTTTCCATGCAGACTGAAGCACTTGCCTTGTGAAACTGAATGCACTATTGGAGAATGTCCTGGGTCAAAGAGATGCTCTTGAATTATTAGTCTCAGCTTTACAAATCAAAGATGCAAAGGAACCATGCAACCTTCTTACTACCAGGAGACCATCTTGTCACTTACCAAATCTAACCTTCCAGAATACCATCCAAGATACAAAAAAAGACCAGACTGATATGATAAATACACATATAATGAAAAGACACAACTGTTATGTGACACTACTCTCAGTAATGTCTGTGCTGTGTGAAAGCACCTTTAGAAAGAGCCTATGCGGCAAGAGATACGTGTCTAAAGATTCAAAATGAATCAACAGTATTGGATAACAATATAATTCTCAACTCAGAAGCTGCCTCAAGATTAGGTGCATCTTCAGTTAATGTAACAGGAAAAGAAGGCCATGGATTTCATTTTATTAATTGTATCCACTCACAATCGACCTAAGGTCACCAGATGTGTAGACACAATGAGATTTTTGTTGTTGCTTATAGTCTTTAATTGAAGTGATGATAAAGGAAATAGATCTATTTAAAAACAAAACCAAATAGCTATTTCTGTCTACATTAGGAGGTGGCACCAGGTGTGGGATTCACATTTTGAGTGGCCACTTGTGGTGCAACTTCGATAATCCGGGGCTTGTCTATTATTCTGGCAGTACGGTTGCCCTTCTCTACAATCCCAATAATCCATGCTTGGTGACCTTCGCCATACTTGGGGGACTTTATCTCTGCACAGAACCGAGCAGCCTGCTCACGTGGTAAACATATTAGAAGGCCTCCTGGCAAAGGAAAAGAAAATAATTATCATTATTGTGATATTACAAGCTGAAGCAGTTTCTTTGCCTCTACTAAAAATTTCTTCTACACAAGATCTAAATTCAGCCAACAACTTAATCAACTTGCTCTTTCCATTAAACCAAAATGCTTGCCCTATCCGATAGACAAAACAATTCCCTGGTATACACCTAGACAACAATAAACTTTAAACTGTGACAATGACCAATCTGCGAACCATTTAATCCTTATGTAGTAAGGTGCTGGGGCCTCAGTAACATGTGGTAGCTTTTTTTTTTTTAAACACTACATTGAAAGAAATATTTACAAATGATTAGAAATGCTCATTTTCAATTTGGATTCCTCATCTCACCAAAACCACTCGTTTGTATTTTAAGACTCATGAAAGAGTTTATGCCTCAAAGAATCTAGGTTCTAGTTCCAATTCATTGTCTTCAAAACAGAAATAGTAATGACACATTAAAATAAATCTTCACTATTTCTAGTAACTAGGCCAGAGAAAAATTGCTTCTAAGTAAAAATTAACACAGGAACAATTTGTATAGTGTATTTTTACTTAAAAAGTAAAAACTCATTCTGAATAAAAAAACAAATTTAAGTAATTGGTATTATTCACTAACTCATTCAATATTCCCTCAGTGCCCACTAGATGGCAGACTGTTCCAACCAGATAACCAACAGGGGGAAATCTCTGCCTGCTTTGAGACAAAACTTTTTTCTTTCAAGCAGGAAGTTGAAGGGTCCTTATCAAAATCCGTAGGGGGCCTGATGAAGTCTGGAAATTCCAAGCCATTTCAAAGGGGCTGCAGTGGGCAGGGCTTTGTGGTCTTCACCTTTGCCTATACCAGAATCTTCAAGAGTACTAGGACCACTCCAGATCTGACATCATTCTGGGGGTCAGGTCTAGACAACTGACCATTTTTAAATCCCCAGGGTAGAAAACTAGAGTTATACAGAAAAGGAAAAAGAAATAAGAGAGAATCTGATAAGAATCAAGATAAAGCACAGGGAGAAATGGGGGAGAGAACTTTGAAAACAATATATTACTTTCTTTTTTTGGGGGGGGGCGGTCCAGGGATTGAACCCAAAGTCACTTAATCACTGAGCCACATACTCAGCCCTTTTTATTTTGAGACAGGGTCTTATAATAAAAACGTTGCTTACAGTCTCACTAAGTTGCTGAGGCTGACTTCAAACCTGTGATCCTCCTATCTAAGCCTTTCAAGCTGCTGAGATTAAAGGCATGTAATAATACAGACATGACACCTGGCTCTATTTTTCTTTTTTTTTTCTTTTGGTACCAGAGATTGAACTCAGGGGTACTCGACCACTTAGTCACATACCCAGTTCTATTTTGTATTTTATTTTAGCGACAGGGTTTCACTCACCATTGCTAAGGCTGGCTTTGAACTCGAGATTCTCCTGTCTCAGCCTTCTAAGCCTCTGGGATTACAGGCATGCACCACTAAACCTAGCTCTATTTCACTCTTAAAAAAACAATTTTAGACATTTTTTCAAGAAAAAATTAGTCAGTTCAATGTCTTCTGTAGGTATTAGTTTCTTTCAAATACTAAGCTTCCAATGACATTTGGGTAATGACTTATCTTTCCCACATTCTCCCACTCCCATTCCACTGCTATCTATATTCCTATATCCAAAAGGAGAAGAAAGGAACACTTAAACTATGGCTCTTGGTCACACATGGTAGGTACTGGAAACCCACACAGAGTTGGCCAGAAATAATTAGGACTACCCTCACAAAGTAGAGACACACTCACACACTAAGCCACTGCTTTCTCATGGAGCATTCTGTTGGCTTAAGTCCAACCCTCAGACTTGGACCCAGGATCCCATACCTGATGTCTCCGGACAGGTTCCATGCATGAGACCAAACATGTTCCCACAGGCCTTGCTCACAGCAGCCATCTTGGCCAGCACAGGGAGGTTGTGAATCACAAACGACACTTCATTCCTCTGTTGCTTAGCCAGGTTCTGAGCATGGCCCAAGATCCCGAAGCCTGTGATGTCAGTGGCTGCGTGGGCATTGAATGTGTGCATAAGTCCTGCAGCTAAGAGAGCCAGAGGAAAAAAATACCTTAGTTGAAGAACTCAAAATCACAAACTAGTGAAAACTCATTTGTCAGGGAGATGGCATCCAGAAATCATGAAAAAAGATAGTATTACAAAATTAGCAAAATCAATGAAATTCTGATTTTCCTTCTTCCTTTTCTTCCTCTTTTTGTGGTACTGGGAATGGAACCCAGGGCCTCACACAAGCCAGTCAAATACTCTACCACAGAGCTATACCCCTAGCCCTGATCTATTTCAATCTAAACTGCCTGGAACCCATCAGCAGTTTCAATCAAGAGCTATTTCCAATATGCTGACAAAAACTATACAGAGGAATTATTCAACAGCAGGTAATTTAGATCTCCGCCTAAATACAAAGAGGACTTTTAAAGATTATTTGACTTAAAATCAAAGTACTCTTGCTAGAGATCAATTATCTGAAAGTTCTTTACTTTTCAATTGAAAAGAATATCAATAGGGGCTGGGGTTGTGGCTCTGTGGTAGTGTGCTTGTCTAGCATGTGTGATGCACTGGATTCAATTCTCAGCACCACATACAAATAAATAAAGGTTCATCAACAACTAAAAAATATTAATAAAAAAAGAATATCAATAGACTATATTTTGGAATTTGGGGGTAAGTTTAGGGAGTTCCCACATGCCCCTCCCCCAGTTTTACCTACATGAACATTTTGCATCTACAGTACAATGAGTCAAATTAGTACTTAACTATCAATGAAAATTCATAACTCACATGAGGGTTGAGTGTGTTAATTCTACACATTTACAAATGTATAACAGCCATCCAACATTACAGTATCATGCTCTAAAAATCTTGTGCTGTGCCTAGTAATCCTCTTTCCCCCAAACCCCTGGCAGCCAATGATCATTTTACTGTCTTTACAGTTTTTCCTTTTCCAGAATGTGCTATCAGTTGCATCATACTGTAGAAGCTTTTCAGAGTGGCTTCTTCCACGATAGCACCTTTCTTTTTAATATCAATGATATTCTATCATCTGAATATACCAGTTGTTTATCTGTTGATCTACTGAGGGACGTCCTGATTCTAAGTTTTGGCAATTACAAAATCATGAATAAAGTTGCTGTAAACATTTACATGCAGGTTATTATGTGAATTTAAGACTTCAGGAGGGTAAATTAACAAGAGCACAATTGTTGGATCACATGGTAATAATGCCCATTATTCCATATCTTTGTCAGCATTTGTTGTTGTCAACCTACTGGATTTTAGCTGTTCTAATAGGTGTACAGTAGTAACTCTTAGTTTTTTACTTTGCAATTCTCTAACAAAATGAAAGGCTATGTAGCTTTTTATGATTATTTGCTATCTATGTATCTTCTTTGGTGATGTGTATGTTATGGGGTTTGGCCCCCTTTTTTTTTTAACTAGCATGTCTTACTAAAAAAAAAAAAAAACTGGATTATTGACTTGTAAGAGTTCTTCATTTATTCTGGCCACCAGACGTTTATCAGATACATTTTGCAGATTTTTCTCCCAATCTGAGGTTTATCTTTTCTTCTTCTTAATAGTCTCTCTCACAGAGCAGATTTTTATACTAATGAAATCCAACTTACCCAATTTTTCTTTCACAGAAAATATTTTTGTGTTTTATCTAAAAAGTCATCTCCAAATTCAATGCTAACTAAATTTTCTATTTATCTTCCTGGAGTTTTACAGTTTTGTTTTATATTTAGGTCTACATCCATTTGAAGTTAACTTTTATAAAGCATGTAAAGTCTATGTCTAGATTTATGTTCTGCATGTGAATGTCCACTTGTTCCGGAACCATTTGTTGAAAAACATTTTTGCCAATGAATTGCCTTTGTGTCTCTGATAGAGGTCAGTAGTTTGACTATGGCTGTGTCAATCTATTTTTCTATTTCTATGGATCTATAAATTATTTCTTACAAGTAAAGGGGGGAAAGTATGAAAAATTTATATTTCAAAATAAATTGTTCACAAATAGGTAACAGGTTACTAAGTGCAGTGTCACATCCCTGTAATCCCAGTGACGTGGGAGGCTAAGGCAAGAGTTCAAGGCCATCCTCAGCAACTTAGCAAAGCACTATCTCAAAATACAAAATAAAAGGGATTGAGGATGTAAGCTTAGTTGTAGAGCACCCAGTACCACCACCCCAAAAAATAAAAAAAAAAAAAAAAGGCAAAATGTAATCCCTATCTGGTAGAACATTATCTGGCTATTAAAAACTACGTATACTAAGTAACAATAAATGTTGACAAGGATTTGGGGGAAAAAAGGTATACTCATATGTTATTGGTGGGACTGCAAATTTTTTTATTTGGTACAAGCACTCTGGAAAACAGTATGGAAATTCCTCAGAAAACTTGGAATGGAACCACCATTTGACTCAGTTATCCCACACCTCAGTATATACCCAAAGGACTTAAAATCAGCAATATCATAGTTACACAGCCACATCAATGTTTATAGCAGCTCAATTTTCAACAGCTAAACTATGTATGGAACCTAGGTACCCTTCAACAGATGAATAGATAAGAAAATACGGTACATGTACACAATGGAATATCAGTCAGCCATAAAGAAGAATGAAATTATGGCATTTGCCAGTAAATAGATGGAACTGGAGATTATCATGCTCAGTGAAATAAGCCAAATCCCAAAAAACAAAGATTGATGTTCTCTCTGATGTGTGGATGCTAACACACAATAAAGGGAGAGGGGATAAAAGTTATCTGGATTAGACAAAGGACAATGAAGGGAAGGGGGGATGGGAATAGGAAAGACAGTAGAATGAATCAGACATAACTTTCCCATGTTCATATGTGAATACACAATCAGTGAAACTTCACATCAGGTACAACTACAAGAATAGGATCCTAATTAGAATGAGTTATACTCTATATATGTATGCATGATATGTCAAAACACACTCTACTGTCATGTATGTCTAAAAGAAAAAAAAACTATGTATATGAGGATATATAATATGGAAAAACAATCTTAAAATGTTAGATGAATAAAAGCAGATTCCAGATACATAATTTATGATTCACACTAGTTTAAAAAACTGCAGGAAACCAAAAAAAGTTCTGCAGGAATAAGTAAAAAATACTAATGAGCTATTCTGGGGTGGTGGAACTACAGATAATTTTCTTTTCTACTGTTTTCCATCTTCTAATACTTTTTCTAAAATAAATATGTAATTCTTCTATAGTAAGATAAATGGGGAGAGAGAGATGTTAAAAAGAAAAGTTACATATAGTACTCCACTGTAAATTGATACATAATACTTTGGAAAACAATTTGGCACTATCTAGAAAAGCTGAGACCAAAGAAGTTCTAGCAGTAATGCTCAGGTCCATTGACAGCAGATCAAATAAGGCAGCCATGCAGTGGAATGTTATAAAGTAATTAGAAAGGCAGATGCTAAAGTAAATCTTTTAATATTTTTAATACTTCAAAATCAAGAGTATCAGATGCGATCTCTTAAGATCTCCTGGGGACAAGAAAAGGAGAATAATGGAATGAGCCGGACCAAACTTTCCTATGTACATATATGAATATGCCACAGTATATTTCACCTTTATGTATATCCACAATAGATTAATAAAAAACAAGACCAAAAAAAAAAAAATCCTATAAGTAAACAGAAGAAAGATAAACAGAGTAGAGAAAAGGGAATAAGGATAGGAGGATGAGACACAAATGGAAAGTAACAGAGATCAAATTGGAACAAATTATACTCTGTGTCTGTTTAATTTTGTCAAAATGAAAGCCAATATTATATATAACTAAAATGATAAAAAAACACTTTTTTAAAATTATTTTTTAATAATACAGTTAAAAAAAAAAGAAATTTTAAAAAATATCCTGGTCATGGGGCTGGGATTGTGGCTCAGCAATAGAACACTAGCCTAGCATATTCAAGGCCCTGGGTTCGATCCTCAGCACCACATAAAAATAAATAAAATAAAGGTATTGTGTCCAACCATAAAAATTAAAAAAAAAAAAATTTTTGGTCAGGCTGGAGGATGTATCTCAATAGTAAAGTGTTTGCCCAGGATGAGCAAGGCCCTGGGTTCAACCCCTAGTACCACACATAGAATTTTTTGCTGGGCAAAGTGGTGCATACCTATCAACTCCAGCAACTCAGGAAGCTGAACCCCTAAGCAACTTAGCAAGACTCCTTCTCAAAATAAAAAATAAAAAGGGGTGGGGATATAGCTCAGTGATAAAGTACTCCTGGTTTTAATCCCCAACATTTCATTCAAACAAGAACAAAAACAAACAAACAAACAAAAACCCAAAGAATTCATGACTTAAGTATTACATATATTTGGATCAATATCATTTTGGGAAAGTTTAAAAATAAAAGAGAAAATACCAAGAAATCAGACAACCCATCCAATGTACAGAACACTCCTTGACTGCTAATGGGGTTCCTGAAAACATCTTAAGTTGAAAAAGCATTTAATACACACAATCTACCAAACAGCATAGGTTGGCAATACAGTAGACTATAGAATATTGGCTGTTTACCTTTGTGATAAAATAGCTGATTAGGAGCCAAGGCTGCCCACGTAGCATTTCAACCATATTGCCTATCTCCGGCACCAGAAAAGATCAATTATTCAAAATTCAAATTGTGGTTTCTGCTGAATATTTCTCACTCTAACACCATTGTAAAGATGAAAAATTTTAAGTGAAACCATCATTAATTAGTAAGGGACCTGTGTTTGGATTTCCATGAGTAAATTCACTTAAGCCAAATCAGGTACCAAGAGAAGATGGCCTATAGTCAACAATCACATCTGGCCAGCCAAAAGTGGGTTTTCTTTTGTGTTTAAAAGCTGTGTGCATGTATGTGGTAGGGGAAATCAATGAGCAACTGAGACTCTATGTGGCCTTCAAAGCCTAAAATATCTACTACCTTGGCCTTCTCAGAATGTCTGCCAACCCTATCATAGAACCATTCCCTGCCCATACCTGTCCTGTTGAGCCGTGCCATATTCATCATTGCTTCTTGGTATGCCAACTCTACGTCTTCTTGGGTGACTACTAGCTTAATTTTATTCCATTTTTCAGGCTAACAACAGAAACATAAGTCAAGGAGAAAAGAGGGGGAAAATATGATTAATCTTTACTTCTTACCACTGACACAAAGAACACCTTTTTGCTTAGTCATCTTCTGAGTTTTATTTATCTAACTTTATACCAAATATTAAGTGTCCATCAGTCCCATCATCATGATTTCTTTTCTGTTCTCATTCTACATTTCTGTAACCAATATTGCATCTTATTGGCTATGTAAACCTGGCAATACACACAGCTACACTAACATGGCAACAGCTGTGTGAGCATAGGCTGAAGCTTGCTCCTCTTTGGGAGGGTGTAAATCACATTATCAATAGCTTTGAATGTCCTCTGGTTCTCCTCTCATCTCTCCTATTATGTCCACAGCTTTCATTTTTCATATTATAATTATATTTTTATTGATTTTAATTGAAGCCTAAAGTAAAGCTTTTCTTTTGGAGACTGGGTCTCACTATGTTGCCCAAGCTGGCCTTAAGTTTGCAATCCTGCCCTCTCAGCATCCTGGGATTATGGGGCACATGCCTCTGCCTAGGAGTGAAGCTATCTTAATGAAGAGAAGAACTGGAAACAACTTTTAAGTGCATGCACACTCAGGTCAGTCATGGGTCATAAAAGGACATCATACTGAGGACAAAGAGGTCTGCCTTTATTCCCCTCAGCCTAATTTTTGAAGAATCCAGCACTGTGATGCTGGGTTCATGACATACTGTCATATGGCCCATTAACTACCCCCATTTATGCATCAACTTATTTGTTTTACTACAGAATAAAGAAAACCCAGTAACCTACCACCCAGTGTAATAACTAAACATCAGCAATATCTTCTATCTACCCTCACTCCATTGCTCCATCTCTCCCAAGAAGTAGCAATTATCCTGGATTTTGTACTTTCTTAACATTCAAAAAATAGTATTCTCATAATGCCTAAACAGCACACTCTTTGGTTGTTTCTGTTCTTTATAAAAAGCATATAGTAGGGCTGTGATTGTGGCTCAATGATAGAACACTTGCCTAGCACACGTGAAGCAATAGGTTTGATCCTCAGTACCACATAAAAATAAATAAAATGAAGGTATAAAAAATACAATAACATTTTTAAAAAAAAGCATATTGTGCTGTTGATGTGTCTTTGGTACTTGCTTTCTTCAATTCTGAGCATTTAAAAAAAAGCAAAGGTAATGTTGACCTCAGGTGGAGATACCAACCCCCTTGCCTTGCCTGCTTCCAGCTCCCTTGCTCAACTGTGTAGTCCTGGGAGGTTGTCCTCGCTAGCATCTGTGAAGTACCCCTTGCAATGCCCTTCCTATCTAGTTTACACCCCTGGGTGAGGAGGGAAAAAATAACTGAGAAGGTGCAAACTTAGAGACTCTCTTACTCTGCTACATCTGTTACAGATAAGATATATACCTGAGGTTTATGAATGAGAGAATATACCACAATCTTATTAATTTCTGAGTTGTTATGGAAGAGAAAAAACAAACTCAGGTATGATTATAGGTATGATTATAGTTCAGTGGAAAAATGCTTAGGAGAAATACCTTTCTATTCTAGATACATTCTCCATGAGAGAATTACACATCAAAATGTTCATAATTACTAGGGCTGGGGTTGTGGCTCAGTGCTGGAGTGCTTGTTTAGCATGTGTGAGGCACTGGGTTTGATCCTCAGCACCACATAAAAATAAGTAAAATAAAGGTACTGTGTCTACCTACAACTAAAAAAATTTTTAAAAAATGTTCTTAATTACTAATCAATTTAAAAGACAATTACCAAACAAAAACTCAACCCCCAAGACTAAAAGTTTGTCCCTAACTGGCCTTATTTATACCCCAAATACCACTTTCCACAAATTCTCCCCACAGTGTTTTTACTATCATCATCATAATCATTTTGTTATGCTGGGACTAAGCCCAATGCCTCACACATGCCAACAAGTAATCTACCACTGAACTACGCCCCCAGCCCCCAACCCCGTATTACTTTTTAATGATGTTTAAGATATGAAAATCAAACCAAAAATACATGATGCTAATCCCTGGCCTCCCAAATTCTTTATAGAAAACCTCTGAAGCCCTAAGCTGGGTTTATTTACTTCAAAAGCTACTTGAAACTTTCAATTGATACAAGAATATGGGCAATTCTGAGGATATCTTTTAAGGACCTGATTGATTAAATTAAATTCTATGGTACTAAAAACTTAGTTTCATTTTCTAAACCCTCCTACAAAAATCACTACAACTCCGAAAACTAATTATTGTGCTCCTGCCCCCATCACACACAAGCAGCAGTTTACTCACAATATCCAGCCACTGATGCACAGCGACAGCAACTTGTGTCCCCAGAGGTTTTGTCAACACAAGCACATCCCCTGGTACTGCATTATCTGGCCTGAAGAAAAGAAAAATAGCACATTCTTGTAAAACTAACCAAGGAGATCAACTCATTAAAACAGGAGAAGAAAAATTCTGTTTAAAAAAAAAAAAAAGTACTTGCTTTTGGACTTACTTAAATTTAAGCCAACTGTTACCATGTACTAGGTGACATGGCCTTACAACCTCCTACTGAAGCTATTACTGCAACAAAATATTAAAAGGAAAATGAAAACATCCACAGACTTAAACACATTGGTCAATTATCTATAGATTTAAAAAAAAAAAATGTAACAGGCACAGTCCCACACACCTGTAATCCCAGTGGCTGAGAGGCTAAGTCAGAAGGATTGGAAGTTTGAGGCCAATCTGGGTAACTTAGTTAAGACCCTGTCTCAAAATAATATTAAAACAAAAAGGGCTAGGGATACAGTTCAGAGGTGGAACACTCCTGGGTTTGATCCCAGTAACATACACACACAGTATGCAAAGAAGCAAATCATTTAGTCTTCCAAGTTCCCATCAGGCTGTTTTGCCTTAGCCATATACGAGTGGGTGTAATTTACAGATGTACCAGAGTTCCAAATTATTTGAGGCAATAAGACTTCTCAAAGATGGCTTTCGTGATCACTTACATGGTAGAGACTCAGGTAGAATTTTTTAGATTATGGGATTTGGCTGGAATTTGAGTCTGGTGTTTGGTGATTTCTGCAACCAGCTTCCCAAACTCAGTGACCAATAATAAGTTTCCTATTTGGAACTCAAGGGTCAGGGTAGACCCTGCTTTAAAGAAAGCAAGCAAATTCTAAAAGGGCAGCCCTGAAAAGGAAAAGACATCCTCCAAAGAAAACAACTATTATATTTGTATCCTCACTACCAGGATGTGCATCCACCACTCAGACCTTTCTTGTCTCAGCTCAAGGAGCTGTCCACATCACTGGAACTACTAAAATGATATAAAAGCAAGTTAGGGCAAAGACTTCAGAATGCATACCACACTCCCTAAATCAACCTATAAGATTTGTATTCATTGTCAACTTTGAGCAATATAAAACTTGGAAATTGTACAGGAATCTCATCTCCCAAAAACTAGACCTTCAGATAAAAGTATCCTTCAATTCTGGTCCACTCATACCTGAGGCTAGTAAATTATTCCACTTTAACAGTTTTGTGCAAGCAACAAATTTATATCAAGTGTAATAAACTATGGAGTTATTTTCAAGTTTATGGGCAATATGACAGAATGTAATCATATGTACAAGTTCTTTCAGCTTTTTAAAAAAAGTAAATATATATGTTATTGGCAAAATATTCGTTAATTTTTCTCCCCATTCAATTCTTTACTAAAAAGCTGAAATGGGTGAGATAAAGATCCTTTAGTATCTAAGTGGAAAGCCTGAAAACTACTAACACATGCTATATGTTGGGAAAATAAAGCATTGGTGGTATGTAAAATGCACGATCCTTAATGCAGAAGCTATCTGATAGTAAAAATAACAAGGAGCTTCCATCAATTAAAAAAAAAAAATGGGCAAAAGATCTTATTGTGAAAAATGTTCACCCCTACTTATAAGAATAAGGTTAACTGGGTATAGTGGCACATGTCTGTAATCCCAGTGACTCAGGAAACTAAGACAGGAGGATCGCAAGTTCAAGTCCAGTCTCAGCAATTTAGTGAGGTCCCAAGCAACTTAGACCCTGTCTCAAAAGAATAAAAAATCAAAAGGTCCGGGGATATAGTAGTAAAACACTCCTGTGTTAAATCCCCAGTATCAAAAAAAAGAATAAGGTTAAAACCACCAAGCAAATTAGGCTGGGGATGTGGCTCAAGCGGTAGCATGCTCGCCTGGAAAGCGCGTGGCGCTGGGTTCGATCCTCAGCACTACATACAAATAAAAATGTTGTGTCTGCCAAAAACTAAAAAAAATAAATAAATATTAAAAAAAAACAAAACCCAAAACCCATTAAGCAGGTCAGTGAAGATCAAGTTTGTTAACCCCACTGAGTTTTCAGGATGTGGGGAAACTGATCCACTAAATTCACTGCTATGGAGCATAAACTAGTAGAGCATCTATGAAGGGCAAGCTAAATGGAGATATCAGAATCATCAGTACATGTCACCCTGCTCTGGTGATTCCACTGAGAAATTTTTTTTCAGTAGATTCCCCTGAGTAAAATGATCTGTTACCTCTAAGGCCCCCTCACTAGAGTATTATTTGTAATGTCAAAATGACTGAATATCATCTAAGTGTCAACAGCAGATTGGTTTAACAATATACAAGATTAATAAAAAGGATGCCTTGCAGGCAGGAATCAATCTGGTGATCTAGCCATAGGTGAAACCATTTGCACTGTGGATTCTTTTCATACCTTTTTGAATTCTAAACCTGCTCAACACAGTCCCTATCAGTACCTATTCAAGAAAGAAAGAAATAGAGTTTACAGTGCCTTCAAAAACAGGGCAGAGTGGCTTTTCTTAACAAGACATTAAATACGGAAAGTGACAACCTGTGTTGAGTTACATTTCCAAAGAATATAGAGAAAGGACCAAAAAACATATGAAAAGATACTTTGATTAAGAAATGCAAATTAAAAGCACAACAGGCTACTACTTCACACACAGTAGAATGGCTATAATCAAAAAGAAACAGATTTTAGAAGGGATGTGGAGAGACTTATGTTCAACCAAAAAACCTGCATGAGTATTTATAGCATCATTCACAACAGATAATAACCCAAAGGTCCACCAACCAATAAATGGGTAATAAAACATGTGTGTCCAAATGATGGGTTACTCAGCCATTAAAAAGTAGGTAGTAAGGATTTATGCTACAACTTTTTTTTTGGTGTGCTGGGGAATCGAATCCAGGGCCTTGTGCATGGGAGGCTAGCATGCTACCAACTGAGCTATATCTCCACCCCTATGCTACAACTTGGAAACATTACAATGAGTGAATGAAGCCAGATACAAAATGTCATACACTGCATGATTCCACTTATATAAAATGTTCAAAACACTTAAATCCCTATAGACAAAAAGTAGAATGTTTGCCAGAGGATGGTAGGGAGGAGGGAACTGGAAGGGATTGCTAATATGTATAGGGTTGCTTCTGGAATTGGATAGTAATGATGATTATATAACCCCATCCTCACAAAAATCAATGAATTATATACATTAGAATGATGAATCATGTGACATTTTGTTATGTGAATTATAATTCAATTTAAATATAGAAAATGTTCAAAAACAGGATCAAAGAAGTACTACTTGCTACAAAATGGATAGACTTTAAAATATGTTAATTATATGAAGTAAAATAAGCCAAGAAGGGATAGAAATGGGGACAACCAAGGGGCTTCTTGTTGGGATGATAAAAATTTTCTACAATTGACTGGTGATGGCTGTACTTTATAGACACAAACCCACCTAATTGAATACTTTTGGGGTGAACTATATGGTATGTGAATGATTTATATAACAGTGAAACAGATCAGGTGGCATGAAACAAAAATCAACTTACATGATAATCAACTTACATGATAAATTCATTGGGCTGGCAGACAGTTGTAGCAACTCCTCCCAGAACAATCCAGGGGTTTAATACTGTTTGGCCACCGGTTACAGATGTTCCTGCTTCCTCAGCTGCATCTTTAAAACCCTGTATAATTAGGGGCATCACTTTATCCCTTTCCTAGGGTTTAAAAGGACAAAAAGGAAAAGTCAATTCTCTCCAACTCAGAAAAGAGCTTCTATACTTATAAAAAGAATCACAGGATCCTAAATCCTGAAAACTAACAATAAGGCAGGGTGTAACAAAAATAGGAAGTATTTCACATTGTAACCGTTTTTATCAAATGCTGGAAGTTGTTATGGGCTACAATGCTAAGAGAACTCAGTCAAGAGAGGAGGAGAGATGTATGGGACTGGTCCACAGGCTGGGCTCCAAGTCTGATGACCATCAGACCCTCTCTCAAAATAAAAAATTAAAAGGCCTGGGGATGTAGCTCAGTGGCAGAGTGCCTAGGTTCAATCCCCAACACTGCAAAACAAAACAAAAACCAACCTAGCTCCCTCTGCATATTCACCTTACCTTTGGGGAGGCTTACATTTACCAAAGAGTGTGAAGACTGGTGAGGGCCAAGATGGGAATGCACACCCACAAGGCCCTTGCTGACACCACTACATATAACAGATCAAAGCACACATTGCTAGGGTAGAACAGAGGGCCTACTAAAAACGCAAGATTTCCGTAAAGTAAGGCAAGCTGATTTGGGGGGAACACATGGGTGGAGAATCAATAAAACCAAGTATCTATCAAAAGTAGCCAAGAGGAATTCATTTCTGGTTTAAGGAACAAGTACCAAAGACAAAGTATCTCCAGGAAATTACACAGAAATGTCTTCAGTGACATCTTGCCACCAACACAAGGTTACTGACCCTCCAAGTGTCAAGAATTCTGGACTGTGGACTCTGGCAGTGCCTGATCCCACAAGTCTGGCACTTAGGTACTATTACTATTACTATTACTATGGCCTATACTTTGGCCATATATGGCCTATACTATGGCCTATACTTTATTAAAACACACATACATAAAACTTCTAAGTTTCAATCTACCTGGAAGAGAAGGAGACAGCAGGGTGGTAGAAATAAAAAGATAAATAAATAGCAGGGTGGTAGAAATAAAAAGATAAATAAACCAGATGCTCTCATTTTAATTTACTGCTAACCACCCCAAATTAAAGAGCTGGAAGGGCTATTGGAAGCCACATGGCCTCCTCACTTTCCAGATGGGAAACAAGTCAGAAAAGTCTCACAACTAAGACCACAAAGACCAGCAAGCAGACACAAAGGGACCTCCTACTTACCCTGTCGGTCATTTTATTACTGACTCCAAGGAGCATCAGCATATTGTCACATTCTGTAACCCCCATTGCATAGAGGTCACTGAGGACATTGGCACATGCTATCCTGCCCTGGGAAGAGAGGGGAGATGTGAGAAGCACAAACAGGGAGTTTCCAACTGCAGAAATGAAGACCAAGCCTATGGTTTGGCCTCCAAGGAGAACTCAGAGACTCTCCAGGAAGAGCAATTACCAGGATGTGGTCCTCAACTTTTAGATTTGCAAACTAGTTACCTTTCTTTTGGTATGTCTTTCTCAGACATTCCTGATAACACATTCCCTTTCTGTGTAGAATAAAGATTTGCATGTTCTTTTTTTGTTTTTCCCCCCAATATCATCATCCTGAATATCAGAAGCCTGATTTATCTAGATAAAGGAGGGTGTGGGGGGATGTCAGGAAGACAAAAATTAGAACCAATAGTCTAGGAGAGTCAGGGAGTGAAAGAGTCTGAAAACAATGACACTAAGGCAAACTTGGAAATATCCACTTATCTTAATTAAACAGATTCTACAAAAATGTTGGCATTACTGGTTATGAAAAGAAAAGAAGATGGTTTTTATGTACTTGGATTGAAAAATTTGTGTAGCCTCAAGACTATAAGAAATAAACAGGAAAACCATCTTGTTTGAGAAATAAACAAAAAAATAGAAGAAATAAGAAATATACAGGCCTAAAGTAAGACTTTTTTCTAAAGAAGTATTTCCTAGTAAACTATACTGCTTTATTAGGAACATGAAATTGTTTAATAGGAATGTAACAATAAAGGTTTTTTTTTTAACTGCCAGTGGGGATTTTTAAAATGTAAGCTGCTATTATATAAATTACTCTTTTTTCAGACAGTAACGAGAAAATGAAGTTTTTCCACTCATAAAAAGATAATCAAACTCTAAGGTAGTATTATCAGTTTCAATGGCTGTTTAATCGTTTTATATTTTCTTATAAATTCCTGGTAGATTAACAACCTTCTGCAGATCCACTAACATCAGGCCAACAGGTAGTATACAACTTGGAGACACCAATCACTGGTCAGAGTGGTAGTGACTTACTGGGAACTCACAAATGCTTTTTTAAAAGTATTTTTTAGTTGTGGTTGGACACAATATCTTTATTTTATTTATTTATTTACTTTTATGTGGTGCTGAGGATTGAACCCAGTGCCTTGCACGTGCTAGGTGAGCAAGCGCTCTACTGCTGAGCCACAACCCCAGCCCCTCACAAATGCTTTTAAGAGATGGTATAAAGAGAATAAATTCTGGCTTTAACCTCTCTGCCTCCTGCTCAGGTGGGACACATGGGTGTGGCTCACCTGCCCAGTCTCTCAGGAGTTTTGGACTAGAGGAGGGAACAGATGGAGGTGCAGAAAGAACACTGGTTCCTAATAACCTGTTTACTTGTTACAGGAATCCTAGCAGTGAATACCCATTATTTTGCTACCTCACAGTCTAAATTCCTCTTATCCCAATGTCCTCACTATATAGGAAGGACATCTGGCATTTTATATAAGTGGGATATCCCCATGTCTTGATTGGCCTCTCTTGGTTGGTAGGGAAGTAGGGTTAAAGGCTGACTAGGTTAATGTGGTCATAAGCATGCAATAGAAAAATGGAAAATATATCTGTGTGATACACGATCAGTAGCTAGGAACTTCAATTCAATGATCAGATATATGTCATACATAGTGTTATAAACACTGTAGTGGATAGGTATCCAGATGACCGATGGGAAGTCATCCAATGCTGACGTTTATCAGAATAAATGTTCATGAAGTCAAATTACAATGAGACACTAAGCTCCTTTATTTCTGGAAGGAAACCTTTGAGACAGAGTTCAGTAACATAGGAATGGTGAGGTTTATGAATGTCAAAGAAACAGAATATAAGAAAACAGAAACCTATATCAGTCTTACAAACGACTAAAACAATAGGTGTTCTTATGCACAAACATACACTCAGGTACAAAAGCAAGAGAGGGACTTCCCTGTTCCACTTACTTTATGACAGTGCCAAGCATGAGCACAGAATGGGCCCAACTGCTTTGACTACAGGAGTCACAGCAGGGATGGGTAGTGTACTTTGGATATAGCAAGAACAAAAACCCCTAAATCACAGACAGACAAAACTACAGCTACAACCACAAACCAAATGCATATGTAATTCCAATGATAAAAACACATTAGGTTAAACTTACCATCATGTAAGGGTCATCTACGATAGGATAAATGTAATCTGTGGTTTGAACCAAGGAAAGACCACCATGCCTCAAAGGAATGACGCAAGTATCCATTCCAATGCCTGGGAAGATGGAAGTCATCAGCATCCAAAAATAAAAGGGGAAAGTCATTTTATTTCATATGATCAATATTATGAACAAGAAGATTTCTGTATAAAATACTTATGGAAATTCTGCATTGCAAATGAGGCCATGTGTTTCCTATCAAGAACCATAACATGAAACTTAACTAGATTAAGAAAGAAAATATGAATAAAAAAGTTAGTCATCAAAACCCAATTTCAATATGGGATGATTTTTAATCCTTAATGTTTGAATAAAAATTTTTTATTACTGTATTTTTATTGCATTACTACATCATATTACGGGTACTATTCAGGAATTCTTTAAAGATTAAAATAGTACATATGAATTTGTGTTTTTTTTATCTATAAATACTGAGTATATTTTTAGATATTATTCTATTTTTCCAGTGGGGTATTTATGTATTTCACATACAGAAAATGCTACCATTACTTTTTTATTTTATTGAAAAATGAAAATGAGAAAGAACAAAGCCAGAATAAAAATTCAAAATTTTCTACTAACATCTATGTAATTCATTTTATAGGTTCCCAAAAGCAATTTTTAAAAGATCTTAAAATTCCATGTTAGTCCCTTTCTGAAAAACTTAAAATCATCACATGTACTAGCTTACAATATAAACTTTCTGTCCACTGTAAAGAAAATTTCTCAGTGGGGCATTGTGACTTACGCCTATAATCCCAGCTATATGGGAGGCTTAGCTCAATGGTAGAGTACTTGGGCTCTGGATTCAATCTCCAGCATTGCCCCCCCACCCAAATTACTCAGTATGGGTATGAGCAATACTTCAGGTTATTAAAAATTATTCCTCAATATTTAGAAAGGTAGTAGGGACCACCAATGGGCTAATTAAAAAGAATTCCCTTTTTCTGAAAACAGTTTTGATGCCACTACAGTAGTCTACATTAATCTGAAAATTACCTGTAATGTACACATTTTACAAATTCAGACTGGCATTCCCAAATAAGCTGAATACAGAGTGTTTTCCTATATCACCTTCTCAAAAGGATGCCCTTCCATGCTCTTAGGAAATATTTCACTTTGGCAGTCCAATAGCCAAAGTCAGGAAAAAAAAATCAGGATGAAGTACAAAAATAAGAAGATAGAGTCTACCCTATAAATGTGGAATTCCAAATGAAATAAAATCATATCTCAATCTCATTGAAAGGACTTTTCATATTTTACAGCAGCAAAACTGTTTTAAACCATCTCATATCATGACAGCAACACATCCAATAGCATTTGATTGCTGCTACCCTTTCTCTTTTCTAGAGTTGGTCCACTATAACTAAAGCAAAAATAAAATTAACCTTTAAAAAAAAAAGCCATACTGTGAAAACAGGCTTTTTACTATATTTTACCATACCTGATGGCAAAATAAAAATTTGTAAAGAGATAAGTAAGGAATGGAGAATATAATTTCAGAATGGCAAGTCTCACAAACTGGAGACAATAGTACACCTGACTTGTGCTCAGTTTTTATCAATTCGGTAACAAAGTGTGAAAATTCATCTCAATGGCACACATGCACAGACACAAATTTCACCCAACAGTGCTCTTTCGCAGGTAAGTGCACTCAGCAAGAACTGCAACTATCTCCCTAAATAACAATTCTAACAACAGGCTGTTCTGAGTGTACTATTATTCACTTTGGAAAACAGTGAGATAGTTTCCTCTAGGTTTCTATTTAAACTAAAGACTACTGAAAGAGATAAATGAATGTTACACACACACTGAGGATTGAACCCAGGGGCACTGTACCACTGAACTACATCCCCAGCCCTTTTTTCTGTTTGTATAGGGTCTAAGTTGCTTAAGTCCTTATTGAATTGCTGACAATGATCTCAATATTAAATTTGTACTAAATAAACTGGGAATGGTGGAGAATGACTATAACCCTGGTGATTCGCTGAGGCAGAAGATCACAAGTTCAAGGCCAGCCTCAGCTACTAAGTGAGATCCTGTCTCTAAATAAAAAAGAAGGGCTATAGATGCAGCTCAGATTATAGAGTACTCCACATCCCAAACTGAACTAAATACATTTGATTTGTAAAGCACTTTATTTCTATACTTAGCCAATTCTTTCAACAGAGTAGCTAATGACTCTGAGCATGTTCCTGGGCTAAAAAGAAACTGCCATTATCCACATTTTCCCTTTCACAACTGTGACACTACTGTAATGAAGACCAGTGCTGTCCCATGTGGTAGCCACTAGCCACTTGTTAAGCACTTGAAACACGGGTAGTCCAAATTGAGATGTGATATAAGTGTAAAATAGACACCAGACTTTAAATAATTTTTTAAAAACTCATTAATAATGCTTTATATGCATTCAAAATAAATTTTTTATATACTGGGGTAAATCACCTCCAAAATTTTAAGGAAGGGAAAGGCATAAGCCTGAGACAGACCATAGGCTTTGAAAAACTAAGATTTCAAATTGAAAGAGAGGAAAAGGGAAATGAACAAAGGAAAATGCCATGAAATAAGAAAAAAACACTAGTCTGGGAAGCTTATGTTGAATTATTAGCAGGTGATGGGGAATTCTCAGTTTAAAACTCTCCATCAAAATAAATAAATAATCCAACTCATCATATACCACCAACATGTCAAGTATGTACCAGTTTCTAACACACACTTAGGCTAACATTTCTTTAATTGGGATACATCTAGTAAACATGTGCACCTTTTTTTTTAAGTTACTGATGGACCTTTATTTTACTTATTTATATGTGGTACTGAGAATCGAACCCAGGGCCTTACACATGCTAAGCAAGCGCTCTACCACTGAACCAAAACCCCAGCCCCAAGTGTATGTATCTTTAAGCTGTTTTGATTCATTCTTCAATTAGAATGAATTATGATATTCAATTAAAAGTAGAAACACAATCACATATAAATATGCATCTGTACTATATATACACACATATACACATCTAATACACATATTATACATATGGATACAGACACAGGTAAAGAAAACAGAAAATTTCTGGCATTCACAACTATTTCAATAAGTATTGTTGTCTCATATTGTAGACTAGAAATTGAGTAACATTAGTGACTGGTACAAGATTAGCAGGTTAAGTATAACTCTGATTCCAAGGAAAAGTTCTGGCATGAAAGTACACCACTTCTATAGGTTTTACTACTCGGCTTCTTTCAGCATCCATTTGCTTGTCATCTGGGGATCTGTATACCTTCAGGGTTTGCCATGAATGCAAATTTAGGGGATGTGTTTTTTCTGAGAAAATCAAGTTTCATTTGCTTCTCAAAAACCATATGTGACCAGACAAATGGTCTTTGTGTTCTTCTATCTACTTTTTCCTGCCTTTTCATTGGTACCTTCTGTCACTGATGAAAGCTGAAGCCAAAGCAGATCCTCTCCCTACTTCCAATCCATTTCGTTTTAGAAACCAGAAGGCATGCAACACGAAGAGGTAGAGTTCAGATCTTGACCCAACTCTGCCCACAGAATGGGCACCACCTTTCCAAGCTTCACAAATTACTGGAAGAACAGTGACCAGGCCCCATCAAAGCACTCAGGGACACAAGGCAGGCCCAAGATCTCAAACAAGATCAACAGGATGATGCTATGAATAGTTTTTACTACTTTACTTTTTTAAAAAAAACATGTTTTTATTTTTTAGTTGTAGGTGGTCACACAATATTTTTATTACATTTTCACATGGTGCTAAGGATAGAACCCAGTTCCACTCGCATGCTGGGCGAGCAGCTCTACCACTAAGCCACAGCCCCAGCCCTACTACTTTACTTTATCCATAGGAGTTTCCGCCCCCCCCTCCTTTTTCTGAAGTACTGGGTATTGAACCCAGGGCCTTCTGCATGCAAAGCAAGCACTCTACCTCTGAGCCACATCTCCAGCCCTATTTCATTTGGTTTTGACCACTGAGTGGCTTATTTTTCTATACTATTTTCAAGAGCTTCCTCAATGTACTCTCACTTCTTGACAAGTCAGTCAACATTAAATCCAACTCATTCATGTTGATATTCCTCCACAGCTAGAGGAGAGAAACTGTTTTCAAATTGAGCTTCTGGGAGTCCTGTAGGCCATGGGGGAGGGGATGAGGAATAATTTTCCTCCCTCCCAACCAAAGCAACTCCCTACCCACCCCAGTACAGAGGACTGAACCCAGGAGAGCTCTACCACTGAGCCAAATCCCCAGGCCTTTATATTTTTATTTTGAGAGAGGGATTTGCGAGGCTCTGCGAGGCTAGTCTTGAATTTGTGATCCTCCACAGGAATACAGCACCAAGCCCAGTGCAATCCTTTTATTAACTTTATGTATTATGGAATAAAGAAGTAACTCAAGCTCAAAACCAAAATGGTAAGACAGAATTTTCTAACAAAATAGTGAGCCAAAACGAATGAAATTAAATCTTATGTGAGAAAGATCAAGTCACCCTAACTACAGAATATCCACACCCCCAGAACACAATCCACTCACAGGGTAAAGTGATAAGTATTTCATCATGCACTTAATAAACCATACTTTAAACTCTAATGAACAATTTCCCAGACCCTAAAGTGTCTCTCTGAACTCTTAAACTCTAATGAACAATTTCCCAGACCCTAAAGTGTCTCTCTGAACTCTGTTTGGGAAAAGGAAAACCATAAGCACCAGGAATTTAGGAAAGAAAAAACTACTGCCCTCAATTCCAGATGGCACCCTGAGGTCAAGCAGAGTTTCAACCTGTCTTTTGAGTGTGGAACAGTCCTGTGTGTCCTACTCTCAGCTTTTCAATCGTTGCCTACTGTATAGGATCCCAAGTTCCTCCCAGGCCCAGTCACTACTCTCAAAGTATTATACATTATGCTTATAGTATAACCTTCCCTAGGGCTGTCAAGAGGATGCATGAATTTCAGGGATCATTTTAAGAAAAAAGCATAAAAGAATTTCTGCTTAATCCTCGGCTAACCAAAAAATTCAATTTAACATAAAAAATGCTTTTACTGTACTATAATGATGTCAATCACATACTCCACAGTTTAATAACTGTTATAGACTCCGTGTCTTGATGCTTTTCATGTACTTCCTCTAAACTAGGGATAATAATATAAAACTGTCACCACTGGATTGCTCGTTGAATTCTACAGACATTTTTTTTAAAAAGGCAACATGGGTAGACAGAAGTTTGGTTTTAGCCTCACTGATTGGACTGTAAAGTATGGAAGAACAATGGTTTACATACCAAGCCTTGGCATAACAGCTCCCAGAAACTGTTCATCTTCTTGGAAGTGGTTCTCTTGTAAAGACTCCAGTAACTTCTGCAGGACATCTTGGGGCACTTTGCAGCCTGTGCCCTTCAGTTCAGTAAATCTAGTTAACCGGAAGCTCTTATCCAATTCATAACTTTCTGGGTTAAAGGACTCCCGCGTAGACATGGTTCTGAGGCCCACACTCCTCACAGGTTAGCCCTTCCCCTCCCTCTCTCTTGTTTGGCTGAGTTTTTTACTTCTGATCCACCTAGGTATCACCAAAACATAAAAACATCATTAAAAGAATACAGACATGTACTTGCCAACAATCAAGTGTACACATTAGGGAAATTCAGTATGTGACAAGGGCTGAAACCACTAAGACCATAAGGAAATAGCCACAATACCTTGTTCATAATGGCAATGCATAAGTTGGAATACATCTTTTTTAAACAGAGCCTATATGTGGGTTGGGGATATAGCTCAGTGGTAGAGTCAATGCTTGGCAAGGGCAAGGCCCTGGGTTCAATTTCCAGAACAAACAAGAAAAGGGCCTGTGCCATCTCAGATATCTATGCAAGATCTGAAGTGTGGTTATAATATTGGCTCTGAAAATAGTAAGAAAGATCTTCCCTGAAGAAGGCAGTCTGGCCAGCAAGCTCATATGGCACTGTGCCACCTTGAACAATAACCCCAAAAGGTTCTTCTAGGGTGCAATATTATGAGAACCAAACTGCCAGCCACTTCATTTGTAGATCTGAAAGCCACCATGGTGACTTTTCTAAAGTGACTTTTCTAGAAAACCTTTTGATCTTTTGGTATCTGATAGAAAAACAAAACACCTATTGGAAACTGGAAAAGGACATTTATACAAATGCATTTGATGAAATTCTTCAAGATACTAAATTCTAATTTTAGAAAACCATGTTTCCTTCCCAGCCATAAGAATACAACACAATACAAAACTAATGAACTAACAGGAGGCTTCCCTAATAGACTTAACTTTAAAAACTTGAATGGCTGTTTAACACTGTAAAGTCTGTCTTCTTTAAGAGCACTTGGAAAGTTCTCTGATGTTTTAATGCAGTGCTATTTCCTAGAAAGCAAACATCCCGCCCAACAAACTAGTACACACATCATTGACAAAATATGCTACTGCTCATTACCATTTCATTACAGAACTAAAACAATAAATTAAAACCTCCCAAATCACTAGCATTTACAATATCTAGGACCATCATAAGTTTCTGGAACATGTCCTTCTAAGTTAGAAGCCTTCTGGCTAAAGCAAAAAACATGTGCTCCCAATAAAGTATCAATCTAAAGGTTTGTAAACCTCCAGATTGATACTTTATTGGGCATAGAATTATAGACACCCCAAGTTTTAGGGTCATTTTCCCCAATAAAATCTATGATTAAGAACATAATTCCCATTTATAGAGTTTTGCATCCTCTGGGAAGCACATTGTTCACATAAAATAAATTTACAAAGCCCGAGTTTGAGTAGTAACCCTAAGCATCCTTACAAACATGTTCGGAATGAGCAATGACTTTAGCTGGAAAGCTACAACTGTACCAGGACAAACCTTCCAACACCATTCCAAGAAACCAAACTGCCCCCAAAGAGAAAGCGAGCCAAGCAAGTTACAGTGACGGGAATTTTGAAGCCATTTTAGAGTTTGGAAAGTCTTAATAACACTTCGACTAAGAAAAGTTTGAACAAAAACAGCAAAGTTCTTGCCTCCGCAAAATGCCTCACATTTAACACCACCCCATCCCCACCAGGGGGAAAAAGAAAGAAAGAAAGAAAATCCAACTCCTCAAAGCAACCAATTATTTTCCTACCTCCCATCCCTATATCCTGCCCCACCACCAAAAGGTGGGGAGAATTTGGGGATTGAACTTCCTTTTTAATTTCTATTTTCCCACACTTTTAGAAGGGGAAAAAAAGTTAGAAACACCTTACATCAAGAAGGAGCTCAGTAGTTTTAAAATTCCAAGTGGAATGAGAAATACAAGCCACCACATTCACATTCCAAGCTTAAAATAAAAAAAAGTTGAACTTATATTTTTGCAGGGGAGGAGAAAAGAGGAGGGTCGCTGGGACCGCTAGTTAAGTAAAGATTAGAAAGAGGGGCTAAATTTGCATAATAAGAGAGTCGAACGCGACTGAGGAGCCACGTGTTTACACCTTTAAAACAATGACATGAATATTTAAAGATAACGTTTAACCCTTTGCTTCCTGGGCACGTTTTCATTTTTGACTCGAGCGCGAGACGCAGGGCCGGGGAGCGCGGTCAGCGCGGTAGGCAGGGCGAGCGGCCCGCCTAGTACCTACCTACCCCCAGGCCCCGCACGTGCAGAGGGGTGGACACCGCGGCGTGCGCGCAGGGCCAGGGCGCTCTCCATGAGGCCCGTGGCGCAGGCGGCCCGGGCGCGAAGGACGGCACTCGGGAACACCTTAAGTCTCAGGCTGCCGCCTTTAAAGGCACAGCAGGCCCGGGCCCCACTCTTTG